ACTGAGGCACAGCATTGCAGAAGTCTAAAGTTGGGCCTTCTGGAGATTCTACCCATTCTAGCTGACTTCCTCACTAAGCTTTTTTATCCCCTTCAAAATGGTAAAACAGAATTGCACACCAAGGTGGAAAGGAATTTTTGTCTTCCATGGAGAATCACTTTCCCTCTGAAACAAAGTCATCGTGACAGACTGAAAATGGCCCCCAAGATGTTCACGACCTCACGATCCTGTGAAATATGTCATACAGTAAGAGGGAATCTGAAGGTTAGATCAAGGGTCTGGAGGTGGAAGATAATCCTGGTCTGTCCCAGTGGACCCAATGTCTTCCAAAGGCTTTTGGAAGAGAGGAAGTTCAACGTCATTAGTAGGATGGGTGACAGAAGGGGCTGGGATTATTCCAGAAAGAGGCCGTGATCAAGCAAGAAAAGTGTCCCTGGGGCCTCCAGATGGACCAGCCTCGTTCCCCCCACCCTTGATTTTTAAATCAGTGAGCTAGAATTAGACTCTGCCTGTCAGACCTGAAGGGTAATGAGTTGGTGTCATTTTGGGCCATTATGTTGGTGGTAATTTGTTATAATAACAACATAAATGAATATATCACTGAAGATGTGCCATAGAACTCTCCATCTGACTTCTCTATAGTAATTCTTTCTGAAAATTGCAGGTATAGCCCCTTTCAGACATCACCTGGGGAAGCCACAATTATTGAAAAGGCTCAGACATATTTCTTATGAGAAGAACTCAGGCTTAAATGACTACAGTATGGGCCTGGCCTTGTTGTTATCATTTGGCATATGTATTATTAGCAAATGTAATTCTCCCGAGAACTCTCTGAGGTAGGATGAATTTCACACAGCTTTACAGATGTGGAAACTGAGGCACCATTTCTCAGTCTGTGGCAGAGCGAGGAGGACTCAACCCAAAGGAGTGTGGCCGAGGGGGGTTCGCCTGACACAACATTCAGTCAGGCTGGGCGGAGAGGCTCGGCCCGTGAGCAAAGCCAGAAGCCACTCAGAAGAAAGGACAGTGAGAGAGGCCAGGTCATTTTGCTGAGTTAAACTGCTTTTGATCTATGATGAAGTGTAATTATGATGATTACAATCTCGTTAGCTCGCTATCCTTGTGGGGCTCCTACGGCAGCTCCTGAAGAAATTTCACAAAAATCTTTGCAGTCATAGCGGCCATGTTAGAATAAACGTCTCACCGTCCCAGAGGACCGCTCTGAAGGAAAACATCTATTTACAGTGGATGTCCTGAGTTCCTCCTTTTCTCAAAGAAACGCTCGGGAGGATGAGGTAGATGTTTACACGGCAACGAGGCCACACAAGACAAAAATCGAGGGTCTGCAGTATTCCTCAGTCTTTCAAAACTGGTTCCCCTCTGCGACTCCACTATTTTCTGCAAGTGGGTGGCCAGGCCCACCTTGTCCCCCAGATGCAGCTCATTATTCTCAGTTTTTGTTTCTTCTATTTTTTTCACCTCAATTGAAAGGCAGTTATTGTCTGTGGCCTCTGGCATTTCTTTTTATCCACAGTGTCTGACTAGGCCTTGTTCATTTATTTTTTTATGCCTTCCCCTCAGTGGGCCTGTATGCCCTGGGCACCTCCTGTGTGCCCGGCACTGCCCTGCCCATGTCTGCCCATATCCAGTGTCTGACTAGGCCTTGTTCATTTATTTTTTTATGCCTTCCCTTCAGTGGGCCTGTATGCCCTGGGCACCTCCTGTGTGCCCGGCACTGCCCTGCCCATGTCTGCCCTGGCTGAGGCAGGCCGGCTTCCCCCCACTGCTGCACGCACAGTGCTTTACCCCCTCCATGGCTGGTCCCCCGTGTACCCCACTTTTTGTACCCATTCATCAGCATGTGGGTGGCTTCTGGCTATTTACAAACAGTACTTCTAAGAGAATTCACGTACAAGTTTTTGTTTTTTCAGAATACCCTTTTTCCAACTCTTTTGGGGATGTACACCTAAGAGTAGAAAGTTCAGATTTAACTTACTGAGGAGCCACCAGACCAGACCAAAAAGGCCACTCACAGGGCTCTGTTGGTATGAAATGTCAGGCCACAGGCAAACCCACAGGGACAGAAAGCAGATTTGTGGTTACCAGGGCCAGGATAGGGGGAGCAAGTGGGGAGGGGTGCGTAAGGGGCACAGGGTTTCCTTTCAGGGCAACAAGGGATGTCCTAGGACGAGGGAGGGGTGCAGTGAGGATGGACCGACAGCCACCGAGTTGTGCATCTTACAGTTTTATGTGTGTTTTCCCACAGCTAAAGAGAAAGGACTGACAAGTTCCCAGCTTATGGACTTACAGGTTAGTGAATGGAGACAGACAAATAAATCAATATTTTATGCAGTGTGCTCATATGTGCTCCGGGAAGAGGAGGAGTAGGGGGTGGGAGGGGAGAAGGGTTTGCTGCTAGACAGGTGGTCAGGCAGGGCCTGGCTGGGGTGGTGAGGGAGGGACAGGTGGCAAACTCTGGGGACATTTGGAGGATGCGCCTTGGGAAGGGAGCTTGTTCCTGGCTGCTAGACATAGAGGCTGAGGATGCTGCTCAGCATCTGACAGCGCACAGGGCTCTCTCTCCACATCCCGGCAAACACGAGTCAGCCCCAAAGAACAGTGCAGAGGCCGAGACATCCGGGTCTGACTCCTTTAGCATCTGAGCTTCAGCGTCTGCTGGGAGTAAGCCAGTCTCTCATGACCAGGCGAGGGACTGTTCTCCCTGACTCCTACCTTGCTGTGATTCTGGTCGAGCCCTGTGGGAAACACTGAGGCTCCCTAAGCCATTCCCCAGGGAGTGGGAAACTGCGTGGCCGTCCTGTGTCCTGAGCACGTGCCTCCACACAGAGCCGCGGCTGGACCAAGAGCTGTCTGTAATAACAGCCTTGAGGCTATGCGTGGGCGACAGGCATCGAGAGCAACTCCACGAACGCATCTCAAGAGCAACGTTTACATCTGGCTGTCTACAAAACACCTGAAAGCTGGAAGTCAACACGCGGTGACCTGCAGCGAAGTACCCTTTCTTCATAGCTGCACATGGACACTTTCCTGTCCCCTGGTGGAAGCGAGCCGAGCAAACATGCTACTCAGGGCAGAAGGAGGCAGTCCGCCGGGGAGAAGCCTCACAGGCTTGGCCTTTCTGTCAGCAGCAGCATCCCAGGCCTCCTTCAAATGGCCCCAGAGAAGTTTTCCACCCTGAGCTTCCCAGCCACAATAAGATATTTACTGTCTTCATCAGCGAGATCAAACCCACACGAGGATGTCACATTTCTCAAATTCCATCAGTAGATCAGACAGGCCGTCTCTGGAAAGAGGACATTCCAGCCAGCAAGTTCAGAGCGCGCTGGCTGCCGGGGCCGTTCCCTTCCTATTTTCTGTCTTGCACCCGGAGCCTTTGTTGTCTCTGCAATGCTGATAAATCAATCCATCAAAAAATTTCCTCAGTGAAACTCAATCAAGAAAGGTCATGTCAGCAGGAGAGGAACAGATTAAATTACCATCAAATTAGACATGGAAAGTGAGTTCTGTCAAAATCATCGCAGCGCTCAGCACAATTAGAATATGTTAATTATGCATTTCATTAAGGTGGATGTGAGATGAAATGTCACTGGGGTAGGCATCCGAAAAAGGGAAGATTGCCAGGCACAACTTTCTCTAGACAATGTGTGACACCTTCATTAACGTCAAGAATCACAAGTCTGCCTTGACTTTTTCTGTAAAGGATTAAACCATTAACTATTTGCTGGCTCCTCTGGCTGGCGTGCGGGGGTCCCTGTCCTCGGAGTGGGCCGCCCCTCCTGAGTGACTGGCTTGCTCTTCCTGCCGCCATGGCCCCAGGGGCTTCTGGGAGTGCCCGGTGGGCCATGAGGAGGGTGGCGGCTTATAATGAACTCCCTGGCAGCGGCGGGGATCATGCCACCGCCTAAGGGGAGGCAGGATGCTGAGGAGTGGGGAGAGGAGAGAAATGAGGGGTGAGGATTACAGAGGAGGGAAGGAGGGGCAAGGAGGAGGCTCTCGGCCTCACTCTTGGGGATGGAACATAGGATCAATGTAACGGGGGGCGGGCAGGGGGATCAGATTTATAAACGCACACTTGGCAAACTCTAATTTGGTGAATTAGTTTGCAGATCTGAGTCATGGTAACCAAGAGGATTTTTCCTAGAGTGAAGTAGTTCCTCACGCGGCAGCTTCATGAGATACTTCTTAGACGCTCATGGTAGGAGAAATTTTCATCTCTGCTGCCTCTTTTCCTCTGAGATTTCCTACAGCGTTGTCTTCCTGAGGCTCTCTGTGCTGGAGGAGGACGGGGCAGGTCCTCTGTGCGGGTCACGCCCCGTCATCTTCCCCTGGGACCCCTGCCTCAGCAGCCCCACGAGCTACTTCCCGGTGTCCAGCCGGCAGCGGCCAGCTCTCCCGGTGTTTCCCACGACCCCTGGTGGGAGGGTTCTCGGTGCCTTGTTCTCTTTCTCTCAGGCAGATCCTTACTCCTCAGCACTCATGAGCACGTATCCATCCTTCCTGCGCGATTCCTCTTTTCCTGTGAGTCTCTACTGACACCCGGCATCTCCAGGCTGTGTCCCTCTCCCCGGTAGCTGCAATGAGACGCTCTTCTTGCCCTGCCGGGATGCTGCTCTTGGTGGAACAGCCCAATGTCGGCTTCTGTTGTGTGCACCCAAATAACCAGCGCTCGCATGCGTAGTCTGTCCTCTCAGTCACAGTGCACTGCAGCTTCAAGATGCGTGCTTTATATTTTATACATATTTTTAAAACATTTATTTCTTGGCACATAGAATGTGTTCAACAAGTATATCTTAAATAATCAATGACCAGGTCTCAGGACTTTTACCATACCATGGGTTGTTTTTTAGGGGCAAGAGAGAAAGCAAAGGTATATACACTTCATTTCTAAGCTTTTGTTAATAGGGTCACTTTTTTCAGACTAACACGTACCATCAATGTATGTCTCTTGCGCTCTCTCTCTTTTTTTGGTACCAGGATCGAACTCAGGACCCTGTACTTGTGAGGCAGGCGGTGGAACCACTGAGCTACTTCCCCGGCCCTGTTTGTCTCCTTTTCACATAGCCAGCTGGACTTCATTTTCTTCAGTGCTTTGAGGTGAACACAGGGCCCCTGCTGACATTTTCCCTCGCTCATACCATCGGGCATCGTTACTTCGTAGTGTGTCTCATGTCTCTCGTCTGTCTCCCTGCCCCTTCCTTTTCTCATTTTGTTCTTCTTTCACTCTCATCTAAAAATCAATGGCCAGCTCTGGGTTTCTGATCCGAATACGAGGCCATAACTCCTGTCCGAATTCTCTGGTGGGTGCACGGAGTACAGCTTGGGGTCCAAGCCATCAGTCTGGTCATCGATGGGCAGGAGAGCCTTAGATAAACTATTTGACCTAAGCCCGTTTCCTTTCCCAGATTGTGAGAATGACAGCCCTCCTTTCATAACATAAAGTAAACTGCTCTCTCTGGCAGTCGTGATGAGCGGGGAAGACGCTGGAAGAGCTGTTGACTGGTGGCATCTGCAGTATCCGGGGGTGTGGGAGAGCTAGCCTGAAAGTACTGCATCCACAGAAATATCTCAATTTACCAGGGAGAAAGGACAGCCATGGCCCCTACTGCCTGATTTAAATGTTGCGTGGGAACAGGGGAACAGCAGGGGCCTGGGACCCCAGCAGAAATCCTCCAGAGCTGGGGGATTCTGGACTGAAACACTGCCATGTGCCAAAGGCCCAGAGGAATTCCAAGGAGACTGACAAGGGATGCACCATAAAGACTTCTGCTGGAGCTGGGATGGGCTATTAATGCCTGGCTCTCCTAAATGTCTCATTTTCTGAGCTTCATTTAATTTTTAGGATCACCTGGGGCCCAGCGTGTTAGAAAGGGGAGGACAATGGAAATTACTCCTGAGCTAGCTCTGATTTGATGAAGCCAACTACCTCACCTCATGAGAGCCATGGAAGGGGAGGAGGGAATGGGCTCTGGGGTACAGAGCTTCCTCCCAGCCTGCCCTGCCTTCCAGCTTCCTTGTCAGCACTGCCATTGATATTAAAATCAAGGGGCTGGCATAGAGCTCCTGGCAGCGCTGGCACAGTTCCAGGCTGGCTCTAATGAGCCTCACCTGGGCTAATTACATTTCTTACAAACCCTGCTGGAGAGGTTGGACTTGCCAACTGGTTGCCCAGAATGATAGAAATTTGGGATTTCTCTCTGCCTGCTGGCAATCACAGCTCCAGAGGCCCGAGAGGGCTCAGGCCATCCTGGCCACTTCCTTGTGTGACTACAAGGCATGTATTCGATTTGTACCAGAAAGAGGAAAGCCATGAAGTCAGAGGTGGTTTCCAGCCTTGCTGCTCCAGGTGAGGGCTCATTGGATGTCTCGTTACGAATGCGGTGTTCAGGCCTCACCCTGGATCTATGGCAACTGCATTGTCACAGGGGCCTGGTGACTGGTGTGAGCAGTCAAGGCTGAGACACCCAGGTACTGATTTCCCAAAAGGGAGGCCAGGAAGATATTTTTAGAACTGTGCAGTCTTCAAAAGAGAGGAAGCATTTCCCAGTATTGCACCAGCCTGGTTTGGGGTCTGCTGTACCGTATGTCAGTTGTGTGACTTGGCTGAGGGCTTAACCTCCCTCGGACTTGGTTTTCTTGACTGTAATATGGGTATAATGGTAGTGTTTCTACCACAAGGTGGCTGTGAGGAGGAAATGATATAATATGTATGGGCTTCTTAGCAGAGTACTTGAAAAATAGCGAGCAGTATAAATATTATCATTGTCATCAATGACATGGAGGAATCATTGGTCCCCAAGGAAAGCCCCCGATTCCCATTTACTTCTTTAGTGGTTCTACGGGGTCTGAGCTTCAGCAGCTCACCTGTAAAGTGGAATGGCAATCAATGTCCATCTCTTGAGGTTTGTGTGAAGATGAAAAGAGATACCACAGAATAGGAACTGTGCGGTCATCACACACAAGAAAAGTCTGAGAAGGCACCACAGCTGAGAGGCACCCAAGGAGACACGGTGGCTAACCGTGTTATCTTGGGCAGGGTTTGAGCCAGGAAAATGACATTATGGAAGAATGAAGTGTGTTAATTAGCTCCCCTACCCTTTTAACACTAGCAAAATCTCTGGGAGGATCAACTTGCAAAAGGCAGTTTGTTTTTGGAGCATCTGGTAGGCCCAGGACTGGTGGGTCCTCTTGCTATTAGGCCTACGATGAGTCTGCACCACATGGCAAGAGTGAATGGCAGAAGGAATCTGCGGACCTCATGACCAGGAAGCAAAAGAGAGGAAAAGGTGGAGTCAGAGTCCCACAGTTCCTTTGAGGCCACACCCCCAATAACCCGAAGACCTCCCACTCTGCCTTCCCTTAAAGATTCCACCATCTCCCATAATGCCCAGCTGGTGACTGGGGGAGACTCCATATCCAAACCAGAGCAGTGAGGAACTGTGAAGAAAGTATGGGTTTTAGTTAACAGGATTCTTATCAATGCTGGTTCCTTAGCTGGGACAAACGTGCCATGCTAATAAAAGACATCAAGAAAAGGAAAAACTGGGTGAGGGGTACAGGGAAACTTTGTCATAGCTTCTTAATTTTTCTGTAAATCCAGAACTCCTAAAAAATAAGATGTATTTAAAATAAATGCATGAATACATGAAAAGCCTTAGGCAAGGGAGACCAATTTGTTCCTATTTGTCTGGGACTGAAAGTCCTGTGGTACAGAAAATCCCTGTCTCAGGCAGACTGGAAGGTTGACCACCTTCCCTTAGCATAGAGCCCAGCGTAACTCAGGAGCCCGATTAATCTTCGCTGCTACATTGTTTGCTGGTGGCCAGCTCAGTAGACACTCTGGGAGGTTGGTGACTGCAGATGGGGACGGGGACCTGCGCAAAGCTCTGACAGGCAGAGAATTCACCCCCTGGGCTAACAGGTATCACCGAGCATCTACTAAGTCCTAGGAGTGTCCTCTGTGCTGGGGCTGGTGGGAGACAAAGATAATGCCTTGGCTCGAAGGAAGTGCAACCCAATTGAAGGCCCCAAACTAGTATAACAATAATAACAAAAAGCAAAACAGCAATAGCAGGCACAGTAGACAGCAAGAGAGCAGAGGAGTCCTTAGACTCATTTATGTTTTTCAGGCCAAGCTGAGATTCAGAGAGCTCAGACAGCCTGTCCAAGACTACGCAGATTGAGGACCTACCCAGCCTCTGTGCATCGCCCAAGCTGAGAGCTGACTTTCGCATTCCCCACCGCTGCCTCCCATGTATCTGTACTACAAGAAGGGTCAGGAAGGCTGAGAAGCCCAACAGTCATGCCATGGGGGCCTCAGGAGTAACTGCCTTAGGTTGGGTGAAATTAGGGAGGACTGGGCTGGGATTTAGCTTAGTGGTGCCTGCCTTGAAAGCACAAAGACCTGAGTTGGATCCCTGGCACCAAAAAAAAGAAAAGAAATTAGGGGGACTTCCTGGAGCAGTCAGACTCTGGGCCGTGAAGGTTCGTGGGGCCCAACTGCTCGGCTTCTGCCATGCAATCCTCAGTGAGCTTCCCTGTCTTCCAAAGTAACCTGTTCAGAACGCTGTGGGAGGGTGATGATAGATGGTCCATTGCCACGGTTGATGACACTTTTAGGAAATCACAGTCTATTCCTAGTATTCCTAGATCAGCTTCCTGACCACATTAAGAATAAGAAGACAGGAATTCGAGTTTACCGGAGGATTTGCAAAAGCATGATTCCCGAGACAATGCAGGGAAAGGATGAGATGTGGTTAGAGAGTGTGTGGTCCCTACTGGACCCAACTGGACGCACATCAGATGGGGGCAGACAAAAGCCAGGGAGCCAAGGCTGCCTGGAATCCCCAGGAAAGAAGAGAGGGAAATGATAGCTGAGCTAATAGTTCTGCATGGATTTACAGGTAGCAAGAAGCTGGACCCTTCTCAGCAGCGCTCAGGAAAGCCACAAGTCCCCATAGGCCCCTGGCTCAGCTGGGGAAGAAGGACAGCAGAATGGCTTGGAGGGATAGGAAGCAAATGGGCCGAAGGTCTGCGTCGGTCCAATTTCGCGGGCATCTGTTCTGGGCAGTCACAGAGGGCCCTGTGCTTGGCTTATGCCCTGCTGCCACCACCCTGAAATGCCTAATGAGTTCTGAACAACAGTCCCTGCATTTTCATTTTGCACTGGGCTCTGCTGATCCTGCAGGTGGCTGTGGCTACCACTCAGAGTCCCTGTGTGTCCCCAGGAGAGAGGGGTGCAGCTGTCTCACAGGTCCAAGGCTGCACCCGTGGCCTTGCAGAGTTAGGGAGCTCAGGATTAGCTAGGAGGACCAGAAGATGCCATGACAGCTTGAGGCTGGGCCTAACCCTCCACATCACAGCCACCTTGGCAATGCCACCACCCAGGCCTGCTCCAGCCCCGCTGGTTCTGGACAAGGCACCTCTCATATCACTGGAATCCTATGAAAGGGGAGGAATCCTGAATTGACCAAAATTAAGTGGCTGCCACTCAGAGTAGAAACTTGAGATAGAAATTGAGTTCAGGTGAAGAACATAAGAGACCATTTCATTTCTTCTGCTCCTGGCTTTGTGGACTGAGACTTGTAACTCTTACAGGTACCACTTGGCTGCTGTGGCCCAGTCTTGCCCTCTGTTCTTATCGCCCGGTGGCTCAAAGAGAAAGCACTGGAGGCCATCCCGAGCCAATGCCTCGGCCACCGCATCTGTGCTCTGCTACAGAGGGTTTCTCGGTGCTTCTGACCACCGAGGTGCTGCATGGCTCTGACCCATGATCTGCAGGGTACAGAGACAGCCCCAGCCTCAGCAGACCCTTGGTAGACTCTGTGCGGCAGATCTGCAGAGAATCCAGTTTCTCATCCACAGCACCCCTGGCTTCCACCCAGCAAAGCCACGACCCCTCCAGTCACAAGGAGCGGATGTATCTTCTGGCATCGCCCACTGTCCCCTCATGGGCAAAGTCACCTCTCACGATTTCTAGCCCAGTACAGCCAGTTACTCCTTTTTTGTGCCAGAACGAGTTATTTAACCAATGTGTCTGAGGGCTTCCCTTAGGAACATATTAATTACAGAGCTTTTCCCTTCACCGAGAGAACTGGTGGGTTTCCACAGGAGAACCTTCGCAAGGAAAGCAAAGGAGTCTTGCTAACATCTCCATCACCCCGTCAGCCCCCGTTGGAGACCGAGAGTGTTAGGCCTTGAAGGGTTAGGTCTTCCTCCAGCCCCATCACTCTTCTTATCATAGCACTCTTCCCTTCTGTGTGCAGACATTCCCTCCGTGTGGGGAAATCCCAGAGGCCAGGCTGACCCCCGGGTCGAAGATGCCAACAACGAGCAGTGACCGAGCGAAGAGCCTCGCAGGAGCACAGGTGACTTCAGGTCGCACCACGTTACAGGTACAGATAACACCCCTCTCTTAAATGTGAGGAGCCCGAGGCTCATACAAGTCCGTTTTTAACTCTGAAAGATCACGCGGCTGTTGTCTGCGTCCTCACAGGTGTGCGGGAAGCTTGGCTCCCTGTGTGGCGATGCTAAGCAGCAGTGGACCTCTAAGGGGTGGGGCCCCTCAGGTCACCGGGGGCCCTTAGCCCTGATACTGGTCTTGCCAGGGTGAGTGGGTTGTTCTGATGAGTGGGAGCCCGACCCTCCCAAGTCTTTGGCTTTCTGTCTCACCGCGCTGTCTCTCCCCCGGGCAATGCATCGACCAGGACACCATCTGCCATGAGGTGACGTGGCTGACGGGCCCTTGCCAGAGCTGGTGCCATGCTACTTGGATTCTCAACTTCGAAAGTGCACGTGGGATAAAACCCTGCTTTCTATAGGGTGCTCAGCCTCAGGTGTTTCCTGACAGTAGTGGAAATGGACTACAAGCCACACGAGTGGAAAGCGATGTGGCATTGAGCCTAGGACTTAGCTGGAGGCCCAGTGAGGGACAAAACACTAACCTAGTGGCTCAAGTGCCACCTTCCCAAGGAGTGCTTTGGCGTGCCATCGATCCAGTCACTTACCTAACACTTTTCTTTACGCAGATTCACTCTTTTAGCTTAAATTCTTATAAAACACATTTTATAGTGCCACTCCTCATTGAAAAGCAGCTTTGGCTGCCATACATGGAAGGGGAATGAGTTTTTCACATTGGGAGTCAATGTTATTTAATTATCTGCAGTAATGATTAACAAGAATCGAAACTGAGCAATGTGTGGATGTTTAGTTTCTTGTACTCATTAAATGCCCAATAAATAGGTCATGGAAGAGTCTATGGTTTGGCTCATCAATATCCGATCACACCGATTTCTGTATTTACCCCTTCAGTGGAGGCTGAAAAATGAACACTTTATCCCCTCTCCCCTCACAATTAGTGGTGGTCACGTGACACTGTACTGTCCAGTACAGGGAATGGCTCTTCCCTGATGAAAAAGGCAAAACCTTGCTGGAAGTCGTTCTTTCATTGTACCTCTCTTTGTGACAGTTAGTTTTGTGTCAAGTTGGATGGTTACAGCACTCAGTTGTTCATCTAGCAGTCATCTAGGTATTGCTGTGAAAGTCTTTTATAGATTTGACTCAAGTCCACAATCAGTTGGCTTTAAGGAAAAGACACTATCCTATATAACGTAAGTAGGCCTTGTCCCATCAGATGAAGACTTTAAGAGAAAAACTGAGGTTGCCCAGCAGAAGAAATTCCACCTGTGCAACGCAATCAGCTCCTATCTGTGAGTTCCTAATGTGCTGGCCTGTTCTACAGATTTCAGGTTTACCTAGTCACACCCCATTCTTATGCAGTAAGTTCCCTCTTAGATAGATATAAATCCAATAGATTATTTATTTTCTGGTAGAATCATGACTGATTACCTCTGTTACAGTTTGTGTCTAGATGTCCCTCCAAAGCCTCATGTGGTCATAGGTGGGGCTTTTCAGAGGTGGCTGGTTCTAGACTGTGTGACGCTGAGATTAAGTATGTTATTACTAAATTAGTTCACTGACTGGTGTGGCATACATCTGGGTATGGATAATGGGAAGGCCAATCCTGAGATTGTGTGCTACGTGTCCTAAGCGTGTGTGGCCTGGATAGACCATAAGGGACAGAATACGAGGGGGGTGCTGCTGTCACTGGCTACTTTGCTGCCTTCTGCCTGCCATGAACTGTTTCTCCTCTTTGATGTCCCTCTGCCATGCTGCCCTGTCTTGGAGCCAGATGATTATAGACTGAAAACTCTACAAACTGTGAGCTGAAATAAGCCTTTCCTCCTTTAACTTTGGGTGCTGGGTGCTCAGCAATGAGAGAAAAGTAACTGAGATAGCCCTCTTCTTTCTTTTGACGCGAGGCAAGAAGATGTATCCACCATTTTGCTACATGGATAACAAACATGAAGATCAGACATTGATGCTACAGGTGCAGCAGCAAGAAAAGGGGGAGAATATGGGTCTGTATTGGTCCCACTGTGTTTACCCATCAGCTTGGAAAGTTTTACTCTCTGGGCATCTTAATATCTCTGAAATAAAAACACCTAGGCCAATCAATGACATCTCATGGAAAATGGTAACTTTACTGTTTTGTTTTCAATAGAGAACCCTAAAAAATGGCACATCTTCTAACCAGAGGCATCTTAGATTTAGTAAAATACAGTAACTACAAACCGAGTATTGACTTGACTTAAGTTATGACATTTTGGAAGGTCTGACACATGTGTGTACAGTTACCTCCCTGGGCTTGAAATTCTGAAGCAAGCAGCCCCAGAAATGTGCTACAGTGGGCACAATCACCTTCACCAGCAATGTGATTTCTCCTCCTTATACTCTCTCCCGCATCTCAGCCACTGTGTGATAAAGCGGTCACAGGCTCAGCCCTTCATTTCCAGTGAACATTTCTTTTAAAACAAACTGAATCTTCCATATGCTTGCACTTTACCTGATGAGAAAATAAAAGCTTTCCTAAATCCTATCACTTACCCCATGGAATCCACATTCCCGGCTTAATGTAGGCTGAATTAATTTAAAAAACTGATGAAAATATTGTAGGAATTAAAGACCAAACCTATTAATATCCTAATTAGACTCCCCATGTTAATTGTGGATTCTTTCAGGCGGCAGAGTGGGTCACAGTCCGGGATCAATGTGACGGCACTGTTTAACGAGAGCCACCATTGGACCTGCAGTTTGCAGCTAAAACTTTTGTCACCTGCCAAATGAGGATGTGAAGTGATTTCCCCCCTCATGCTTACAAGAAGTAACAGCAGCTTCCCCGAATGCTCCCTCTGGGGGAGGGAGGAGAGAACCCAACTGGAGGGAGGGAACCAGGGCACCTACCGGCTCCACCCTTCCCTGCAACATCAGTGTAGGCCTTCTCCTTCCCTTCAGAGAGGGCTGAGATGGGTCCATGAGCAAAAGTGAGGCAGGAGATTAGGGCACGGTCAACTGGCTGGGCAAGGGGGCGTGACCTATGAATCAGAAATTCAGGATACTCGTGCCAGGTCCTGCACCCGGGAGCAGTCAGAAAATGCGCTCTTCAATTCTTCTAGTGAGATCAAGCACGCTTTCGACAGGATGGCCTAGATCTGATGCTGGCCTGAAGAACTGGGGACACAGAAGACATCAGCCTTTCACCTCATGGCCATGTAGGTTCTTTAGAGACCCACTCGCACTCTCAGGCTGCAGAGGATGTTTCTTTTCTGACCTTTGATAAATGTAAAACTCACTACTATACTTTTGCGCATGTTTTAACCAAGTGTTTGTTCAGGACAATGAGAACCTGGTTCTTGAAGGAGGCCACAAGCACCCTAGGCCCTGGTAACAAAAAGAAATGATGAGAGGCAATGTTTCTGACAGAAGAAACTTTGGTGGTTCTCATGAGTGGGATTTCTACCTCCTTTGTGCATGGGTCTGGGGCAGGGGGCAAAACCAAATGCCTATAGGGTCCAGAGAGGGCTGGGTGGAGACAGTGGAGGGCTGGAGAGCCTTGATCCATCTTAAGGGACCTGCCTCACTTTTCCTGTTGTCCCGGTCTCTATGTAAAACCCATCCAGAGACCAAGCCATTTTCACCGCTCATTGTCTGCACCCTGGTCCAAGGCTGCAGCGGATCTGAATGGAGACCAAGTCTGCTTCCCAGATGTGCCCAGGTGATGCTGGGCTGCGGTTATGGAAACGGCCATGTGGACCCAACGATGTCCTTGTCTCTTCTGGTTACTGCCATGGCCTCCTAATGGTCCCTAGGAGACTACTCTCACTACCCACTATTCATCCTCAATACACGATCCTTTAAGCATGTGGATGAAACTGCATCACTCCTGGTTCAAAAACCCATTTACCTGGAGTAGCTTCAGACTCTTAACAGCATCCACAAGGTCACAAGTCAGTGCATTTCCCCTGGGCTGCACAGTTATTACATTTGCCTGTCGGAGTCTCTTTTCTCCCTTCCGCTCTGACTTTATGTCCTTCCAGTCCTCTGCTTCAGCCATTCTGGCCACCTTGCTGTTTCTAGAACATGCCAGGCATACAGTCACCTCTGGGCCTTTGCACTTGCTGCTCCTCTACCTGAGATGCCCCTTCCCCATGTCTGTATGGCTGTCACACACCTGCCCAGATCTTAGCTCATTTAGCTCATACCCCCCTCGGTGCCACCTAATCCCTTCCCACTATTAGTTTTCCTTCCTTTACTTTCCCAGCCTTCCTATCTCATATACTGTTTGTTTATTAACCGCGTGGTACCCTTGGAAGGCAACATTCCTTAAGGGCAACATTTGTATCTACTTTTTTCACCACTGTGCTGAAAGAGTGGGCGCATGTGCATGAATGAGTGAGGAAGCAGGGCCCCAACATGAGCATCTCTGGCCTGCAGAGCACCCGGATGCTCAGCCTTCAGACTTCCATCCACTGGTTACTCAGTCAAGAACATGGCGACGCTACCTGGGCCAGACTAGAGATTGGTTTTCCAGTGATGTGGCCCAGTCGCCAAGTGAAGACAGGATAGTTTCAATCCCTTTTGGAGGTGGAGTTGCTACCTCTTGGGAGAAAGGAAATATGACTGTGTAGACACCCTATCTCCTCCTCCGCTTTTCAAAATCTGCTCTATGTCATTGGTCTTCAAGGGCTCCAAAAAGTCTTCTCATCGACGATCTAGCTTTTTTTTTTTCCTCCACATAATATTCAGCTCTTATCAGCCGGTCTGCTCATTTGCTCCCAAGAATAGGAAACTCAGCATATCCGGATCTGATTAAGGCACTGGAGAATCAAAATTTGCAAAAACCCTCAGTATTCCTTCAGTCAACAAAACTAAGGGTCTACAAAACAGGAGGCCCTGTTCTAGACATTGGGATTACACCAGAGGGCAGACCCGAGGCATTGCCCTTGTGAAGCTTATGGTGCAGAAGGGGAAGAAAGAACCTGTGCCGAGGAGCCTGGGGAC